GTGGCCGTGGCGCCCGCTCAGGCAGCGGCGGTGGCGCTGCCAGAGCTGCTCCCCCTCACGGCATTGCCCGGGGCCGGGCTCGGGGCGCCGGGGGGAGCTGAGGGGCCGCGGTGGCCGTGTCCTGCATGGGGGGCTGTTCCTGCTGGGGCAGCGCCGGGTCCCGCTGGGGCGGGCTTGGAGCGGGGGATGGCAGAGATTTGGGATCGGGGGTCCCACCTGCCCCCTGCGAGTGGTCGGGTCAGGTTTGCAGGGAGCTGCTCACAGCCCTGCTTTAGGCCCCGTTGTTTATCCTCCGGCTCCTGCGTGTCCATCCCGTTTTGTGGAGTGGTTGTGGGGCTTGTGTCTGCCTTGCCGTCACTTCTTTGTGATTTCTTTGATTTCTAAGCAGCCATATCTTCTATCAGAAAAGGAACTGGCATTAATTTAAGGGAGGGTTTTTAAATAGAGAGGGAGGGTAGGGAAGTTGACAACTCCGCCTTCTGAAACAGAGCCTCCGTGTTTTTTTCAGGTTGGCTGCTGGGTGGGAGCTTTTTCTTATCCATGTATAGAATAGACTCTACACTGTGGACCTTGAGTGAAGGTCTCGTGTACTTTCCAGGGGTGTTTTTCTTGTAACTGAAGCTGTTTGCACGGATAAAAAGCAATCGCCGACCTTTTATGTGTTGGATTTTGAATGAATTAATATATCTGATTCTGTTTCTTCTTAGCGTGCTTTTGTATCTGCTTGCAGTTTCCATTCACAAGTCCCGTTATGTAAAACTTTCAGTGTTAACAATGTATTCATTCAGGGTTCATAACACAGATCCTGCCTCTTGGGCCACACAGCTCCACAGCATCGTTATCAGGTCACTGCTTCCTGCTGACCTGTCTCACAGTGAGATAGGGATTGTGGCATGTATGCTGTCAAGTGGAGGAAATCAAGTTTCATTCCGAAACCGCCTTTCCTGATTCTTTCATGCATTTCAAATCCTCGCTGCTGAAATACTCCTGTTAAAAAATAAATAACCCTAAATAAAACTTCAGCCTCCAGCACTTGGATTTGCCTTTGCTGGCAGTAAAGTGTTTGTAATTGTCTTGTCATGTAGGCATGGATGGGCAGTGACTGAAGCATGTCCTGCTGTTTTGTTAAAGAGATTCAGTAGGGGCCATTCTCCCAAATTTTTTATCTCAGTGATATTTCTGGATGAGACAACACTTTTACTTCAATCAATATTACATTAAAATATAATGTCCTTGCCTAGAAAGTTGTTTTGGCACTCCCTTGGTGCAGCAGAGAGCTTGTCAGGCCAGACTTTGGACTAAAAGCAAAATCTTCTTCATGTTTTTAAAATAAAGCATCCCCACTATGACTTTCTGCTCATTTAATGTATTTATTTTTACCCTGTAGTGGCTGAACCATCTTAGAGTCATCATGGCTTTCTAGCATGCTTGTTCTAAAATTCAAGTGTCTATAACTTCTGTTTTGATAGTAATTTATTCTAGGTGTTAAAGAGTTCCCCTTTATTTTTGTGTACTGATTCTTAAATACTGGCTTTCTAGAAGTGTACATGAATGTTTTTGTTAATCTGACCACAATTTTGACTTGTTATAGTCAAACAAGTTTCTTTTTAAAAATGGCCATATTGGAGTGTGGCAGAAAAAGTGTTTTTGGATGAAATTGAAATTTAAAAAAACCCATTAATTAAATTGCACTATTTTGAAGTATGATGAGATTATTGAGCACATTTAGTATGGAGGGATTGAAAATG